CTTTTAATTAAATTAAATAGATTAAATATTTTAAATTATAAATAATAATAATAATTATTAATTATCAAATATTAATTCTCAATTCTAAAACACTTGCAGACGACGGCCGAGGAGATCCGCTCGGAAACAGGCTATTTGGTGTTCCCAAGCAGCAGCCCTCTGTACCTCCCCTCTTTCTCTGCCATTTTCTGTTTGGTTACCTAGAAATTTGGAGGAAATGGTAGAAAATATTGGAAACATTCTAGATCTCCGCCCTTGACGTCATATTTGGTTGTCACCGGCTTGGCAATAGCGTAAATCTTCCCTGTGCATTCTATAGCAATCAAATGTGGCATGATTGTAGGATTTTGTTCAGTTTTTTTGCGTGATTAGTGAATTTTGAGTGCATTGTTTCTGCTAGGGTAGAGAGAAGAAACAGGCAAAGGATCAGTTTAAGATCAAGAAATTACCAATCCGAGACAGTAATTAAGCATGTAAGTTTTCATGTTCTCTCATCGTATCTCTATGTAAATTTCGTTCTCCGTTCTTTAGCATCCTTCTGATTGCTTCATTACTGACTGTACTGTATACTTAATACCATTCTCAGAGCTCTACGGTTAATGTTTACTTATGGTTAGCGTGTTGTGGTAGTTAATTAGTACCTCAATTTCAGTAGCAGAATTTGATTTTCTTAGTTAGTTGTTTTAAGCATGTGCTTATTTTGAAAATCTCGACTGAAGATTGCTTAAGAAAGACAGTTATTGAATGTGAAACCTCTAAAGAAAAAACGCAGTCCAGGAAGCATTTTTCAATTCCAAATTGGTTATCGTAAAGGTTTGAAAAGGTCACAATTCTCTAAATCAAGTAATCATCCCCCTCAAATAGTGTTTATTTTTTGTTCGAATTATGGAGATTTGGTGAGATGGTTGTACAAGCAGTAACTAAAAGCATTTTAGCAGGCAGTATCTCATCATGGAGGGACGTTTATAAAGTCAGTGAAGCAGCTAGAAAAGCTATGCAGTATTCTAGCCTCCTTTTTTTTTCTTTTTTTTTCTTTTTTTTTATACTTGTACATGCTTCGTCTTACAATATTAGCTCTAAAAACAAAAGGATGCATGTGATGGAAAATGCTCCCCCGAAGTTTAATCACCTGCCATGATTCAGGTGGAGAAGGTTCAGTTGAATTTAGAACCTGTATTTCCTAGTTTTGCAACATCTGTGGTCAGGTCACACATTGCTAGCTGTTTTTGGATGGTAAGTTTTTTCGAATTCATGCTTTCAATTGGGATATAGCATTATTAGAGGAAGTGGAGGCTTATTTTTTTATTGGTGTAATATAGGGATTTCCTGGCATGGTAAGGGTGAATGATCTTACTGAAGTGGATGGAGCTCTGGGCCTGCTAAATTTGGATGCTCATACAAAAAAAAATGATGCAGGCAAGTTGATTATCCTTTCTGATTTTCTAGGTATCATGTTTGTTTTGTCATAAAGTTTGCATTATTATTGAACTTGTGAAATAATGAGAAGATACAGAAACTGATACAATACAACAGTGTTTAGCTTTTGGTTCTTTTCTTTTCTTTTTTTTGGCCATCCATTAGCTTTGTTCAGCAGAAGAATAAAAGGACCAACCAGCAGAGATTGGCTTCTAGTCGTGAGATGTTAGTGTAGTGGAGATGCTGGTTTCAGAAGTTCTGATGGTTTCAAGCTCTCCACAAATACTATTCAGTTTAAAGACATCTCAAACTGCACCAGGAAAAATGCAGCAAGCATGCAGAAGCTACTCTGCAGCACCACCAACTACAATAGGCCGGTGCAATTTTGTCAAAATGGCCACACAAGTCAGCAAAAATGGCCAACTCCCAAATGCATTTTGCTTTTCATTTATTACCTTCAGTTCACTTCAGCCTATAAATGCCCATGTTCTCTCTGTTGTATACATCAAGTTTTAATCAAGTTTCAATCAAAGTATTTGTGTTAATTCTCCTCTGTTTGAGTGAGATTATTTTAGAGTGGATTCTCTCAATTTATCTTTGTATTTTAGGTCTTCCCAACTTAAATGGTGTTTTAGGCAATCAAATTGAGCATAGTAGGATTCTAAATTTTGCCAAAATTGATGTTTTGGTATCGGGCTCCTGCGCCACAAACTTTAACATCTTGGTAGATGGCTCGATTATAGACTGAGCTCACATAAGACATTCACAATGAGTACGTACTACAAGCTATGCTGCAGTCAAAGTGAAGTCCTTCATGAAAATCTCTTCTGAGGCATCAAATCTTAAATTGATGGTTAGAACCATTTGCAAAACTGTCAATTTAGCTGGCGCTATAAGAGCCTGCAAGCGTACCACCTGTCGGGATGAATTTGATATTCAGGACAAGACCTTAAAAAGCCTTTGAACTGTTAGGTAGGAATGTTGGATCCTTATGTGCTTGGTTGCACTGGTTTTTACACCTTGCCTTTGATTCAGAAGGCCCTGCAGATACAATGGGGTATATAGAAGCCAAAATGGAACAAGCTCACACTGCAGATGAGGTCAAAAATCTTGAACCCAAGCTTGCAGAATTAAAGTGGACTTGTGAAAGGTTCCCCACTGAAATTGAAAAGTGGGCTACTAGATGAGATTCCAGGAAGTAGTGCTCCATGGTGATTTGTCTTTAAATACTGTTTGGTTTGAAAGCCATAATTTTTTTTTTCCTTCCTCACGAACTCAATACCCTCAAGATGGCGAACCCTGCTCCAAATGGCAGATAATGACCGAAGACTACTAGGTAGAAGTATCATATGTTCATACCATCACTGTTACGTTTTGCGGTCCCTTAAAATGGCTTTCTCAAATTTGTCTAGTTTATTCATTTTGCTCTCGCTATATATCTTTCCCCCTATTTTAAAAACAAGAAATTGATTGGTTATTTCTGTGCGAATAAATCAATAATAGCACTGCATTCTTTCTTTCACACGCATATATTTGAGCCTTATTTAAATTCTTTCTATTATATCTTATTCCACTCGTTATATATGCTTTTTGGCTCTAAAAAATTACATGAGTATTTTTTCTT